ATTAAAAATCAAAATTTTGACTTAAGTCTGTACTCAGTTTATGGTCTTGGGGCCTGGCCTAAATACAGTCATATCAAACTTATTTACACTTACAACTTACATGCTTAATGAACGTTTTGTTAATTTCCAGCAAATGACATGATTTGGAGTTACATTTCCATGTTAATACAAATTGTACATTATTGCGCTTTGTCGTTTTTGTTTTCTTTACATTTACTTGTCTCTATGTTGTTTAAAGCAATGCAAGAATAAACTGAATTGAAAATTGAACTGACTTTACTTATTATACACATATCATTCATTAGTTTTATAATTTTTGGCATGCCACCCGTTTTAAAGGCATATTATAACTTCTAAGTATTCCACGTATGTTGATTGTATCGTAAATAATCATATCGTTAAGAATCGAGACCCTCTATATTTTAGTATTATTTAACCTTCATTTACGCAGCACAGTTAAGGTGTAAAATGGAAATATCGGCGAATTTTTTAGATAGAAAATACATTCTTTACAAGGATGCGCATTTCTTTTTAGGACTTTACTATTATCGGACAAATGCAATGTGGTTGAAAACTGAAAACTTGTCACGTGATGTGGCAGTCACGTGATTTTAGCAAATATACCTGAAGTATTGATGTCATCTATAAATTCTAATATTGCAAGAGCATAACCAAGTTAAAAATCTAAGTTTAACATGATTATTTTCTGCACTCTTTGTAGTTTGTGAAAAGTGCTGCGAACCTATATAGATTCTACTATCTAACTGCTAAAATTACATTTGTTAGACCGTATGTTGAATATTTTGCTGGTCAAGTACATTAAATATAGATATAATTAACTCATTTACAAAATTTCAACAGGTTCGCAGCACTTTTCAAATATCTTCATACTTCTTGAGTTTATGTGTAAAAGCTTGTCATAATTCACTGAGGGTATGTCCTTGCAATATATCGATTTATATTAAGACCCTTCTATTACCCTTCAATGAATCTGCATACAAATATACGACAGTATCGCTTGTCTAGGGAATGTACGGGAAGTATATGAATAAAATCTTAAAACAGACATCGCATCCAAGTTAACGGCCTCTTATATATCTACAATTTATATTTTATTTAATTTCAAAATACATTTTCATTGTATAAATATAACTTGATCCGCCTCTCACTGCATACAAACTGCGTCAATTTTCCGATATGAAGTCACATTGACAAGTGCATTGTGATCAGTGAATTGTTTATATATTGCTGTGTGGGATTTAACCAACGACAATGCATGCACTAGTTAGTATTGATGTAGTTTAAAGCTATTCTTAAATTTATAATAGCAAATCATTTTATTTTGTGGTAATTTGAAGAACTTATATTTTTGTGTGATGTCATAGTAAGCATTTCCCGTATAAATTAGGCCCCGCCTCCTTACTGCAGCCTTAACTGTGCTGCGTAAGAACTCCTTTAACTTTATTAAGATGTTTTCTATGACAAATTTTTAAAGCGTAAAATTAGTTTTCATGGCGTAACAGCGTAATTTTGTGGTAAAAAGCGGAAGAATTACGCCAAAAGCGGAAGGGTAGGCAGGTCTGCAAAAGTTGTTTTTCTGGTTAAGGGTGGTCTTTGGCAACATTTGTCATCTTTAGGTGGATACCATAATATTTACTATACACTCCATACAAACTGGATAATTTTCATATTTATCATACGAGGTAACTATAAATATTGAAATATCATTATTGTGTGGTTTGGTTTTACGCATGTTTAAACTAAGATTGTAACACAAAATTTTGGTTAAACAATGAATTTAAGAAATCACTAGTAGAGTAGGCAAAAATGCCTATCAAATGCGCTATAGCTCTTTAATACAGTGGAAATATATAGATTACTTCAAATCGATGTCTCTATTAGTAGTATCTTGTTGGTTGGTTAGTTTATCTCTTCAGCAGATTCATCACTCTCATCATCACAACCACAGGGCTGGACGGGATACGTCACTTGCGGCAATTGCTTTATCGTGTGGATGTAAAAAAAAAAGTATCAGTTAACAATATATTACACAGTCAACATTGTATTTTATTTAATACAAGCTTACCTCAGTTGAAATCCTCACTGGGTAGAGGAGCTCTGGATATGTAGGGTGTGAATACATGTCCCATCAGCATTACGTTGGCAGGACAAGACATGTTCTTTGAACTGACTCTTCAGTTCCATGTGATCATTGTTTTCCCACCAAATGAAAAGAAAGCATTTGTATACACTAATTATAAATAGAACTAAAATGGGAGAATTCGTGGGGCAGAAATTTACTTAAGCACCAAGCGTAAAATCATAACTCTCATTTAGTAGTTTGCCTTAAAACTTGCTACCTGTAAATAGAAAAAAAGACATGATAGTTTGAATAATAATTTAAATAGTATTAGTATAATTATATTATTATATAGTATAATGAATAAAGTTTCATGTGATTTGACAAATAAATAACACAAAAAATCTTACCTCTTTGGCAGTAGAAAAATCATTAACACTGAATGAGAATACTAACAGAACGTCTAAAACCAGAACGGTGTAAATCAATTGTATTTTTCATAAATACAGGCAGTCCATGGTTCTCATTAGAATTAAAACTCATGTGGAAAGGAGACAGTCTAAAGGGTTGAAAACTATATTCTCAAAATAGGATATTTGGAATTATTCCTCCCAAACCTCCAGCGTTCTCAGAATTGTCTTTCCAGGATTGTTATCATATTCTTTTGTCATCTCTATGGATGTCGTATTTATCCCCGAATTTGAAAAAAACCTTTCTGAGCTTTTATTTTTCCAATCAAAATCTACAATCAATATCGTTGCTTCAGCGAAATTCCCACTAAAAATGAGGCGAAATTTCTAGATTCTGTTTGTATCTCTTCTCTATGATGGGATTACTTTAAATATAGACTCGTATCTGATACCCTCGACAGTGTTGACTCTGGTCCTTTAAGGATGATTTCCTCTTTGTACGTGCTTTATCCAATGTCAGATAGACGTAAGCATTGGAAAATCAGCAGTTCCAGTAATGCTGCCCTTCGCAGGAAGTCTGAGCATAATACTGCAATCTTCTTGGGGACTGATAATTATCTTCCGATTCAGACATCTGAAAACTTTTCAGTCGTTGGCTAACTATTGTCGCGAAAGTAAACTAACTCAATTTAGAGTTCTTATACCCTTATAAAACTTCAACGAATTACTACGATGACCAACATATCCCTGCGATATTTTGTAATTCGTACATTTAAATTACCATATCGCAGTACAGTAAAGTTGCGCAATGGAAATATCAGCGATTTTTTATGAAAAAAAAAAAATTCTTTTTCAGGATGGCGATTCTTTATAGTTCCTTACTAATATCGGACAAATGTAATTATGGTTATTAACTACATATTGAGGACGATTAGATTTTCTATTTAGACTTGTCACGTGATGTGGCAGTCACACAATTTTTGCACTTATACTTGCGGTATTGAGGTCACCTATAATTGTCAATAGTGCAAGGGCATAACCAAGATAAAATTCAAAGTTTAATTTTTAAATAGGTACAACACCCATTGTAGTTTATGAAAAGTGCTGTGATCCTATATAGATCCTACTATTTCATTGTTAAAATCATATTTGTATGAACGCATACTGAATTTTTTGCTGGTCAGGTTCATTAAATATAGAAATAATTAATTCAGTTTCAAGATTTCAACAGGATCGCAGCACTTTTCAAATAGCTTAATACTTCTAGAGTTTATGATTAAAAACTTGTCATGATCCATTGAGGGTATGCCCTTGCACTAGATCGATTTGTCAAGACCCTTGGATCATCCTCCAATGTACCTGCAAACAAATATACGGCAGTATCCGTTAATTAGGAAATGTAAGGGAAATATATGAACAAATTCATAAAAAGGACATTGCATCCAAATTAATCCAAAATCTTCAAATAATATTTTATTTATTTATAAAATACATTTCTCCGTTGTGAAAATAGTACTTGATCCGCCTCTCACTGCATACAAACTGCGTCAAGTTTTACGGAATGACGTCATATCGACGAGTGCAGTGCAATCAGTGACTTGTTTAAACCTTGCTATATGGGATTTAACTAACAACAAAAACGCACATTATAGTAAGTTTTGATGTAGTTTAATTATCTCCTACAGTTTAAAATTGCAAATCACTTCCTTCATTTTTTGGTATTTTTAAGGATTGTTTGTTTTGTGTGATGTCATAGTTAATATTTCCCGTAAAAATTAGGTCCCGCCTCCTTTTTGTACCCTTAACTGTGCTGCGAAACGCCCTGCGCATGCGTACAGATGAACAAAACCAACGATCCCCTTTTAACCTCCCTTCGCCCCCTCTCCTCAATCCCTCCCAGTTTTTTTTTAAATCGAAAGACTCTTCTTTCCTAAAAAAAAATTATGATGCTTCATATAAGAGCATACTGAAATTATGAAGATATCAAGGTGTGGTCACATTAATCAGCGGCATCTTCTTGATTGAAAATATCACAATGCAGAATGACTGAGAGAAGAGGGACTATTTTCCTGTAGATTATTCAGCAATACTGTATAAGCAAACCTTTAAATTACTTCGAAATTGTCAGCTTCAGCAATAACTCAGCATTACCAGGAAGCAGTTGTAATTCGTATGAAGCATAACTATTGTACATTCAGCTTTACCATACCCTTAATTCAGTTAATAATGTTGTCAGGTAAATGAAAGTTAAAAACAAAACAATTAGTAAAAACAAAGTTATTTGTTTCCAATTTTAAGATTAAATAAATTAATTGCACATTCGTACCAAACCAATCATGCCAGTAATAGTCACATCAACGTTTTCTAAGTTACAATATCCAGCAGTATTGTATAAATAGCTTAAGCATAAGATCAGCTGATACAACTGACATAGTTTACAATCAGCAAGCATAGATCAATCACCTTTCATGAAGAACAGAACATGAAGATGCTGTCCCCTTATGATATATATATAATTAAGTTCTTATTTTTATTCAAAAATTCGTGTAAACATACTTTGATCACATTGAATTCCCTTCCATCCTGTTTTGCAGCCTCCGTCACACTTCCCTGTTGTCCTGTTACATCGATTGGTTACTGCACAGTTTTGGCTGCATACATGTTTACAATCACGTCCGTAATTACCAGGTTGACATGCTGTCAAATCAAAGCATAAATATCTAATTATAAACGCAATTAATTATTACTTTTGCTTGGGTTTGACAATTGACAGAATGTTAAACTTTGGCTTGTTCATCTCGTAAGACTAGATACCTTTCTATATGTATGGTAATTGCTAAACCTATATGATACGTTAGAACTGCAAACGAAGAAAATTTTTTCTCGAATATTTTGTGGACATGGCGCTTTGAATAAAATCGCTAAAAGTGATAAAAACAATTTCAACAGTTGCATCTCTTAATATCTGTAAACGAGAAAATGAACTATAAAATCACTTATGTAAAATCTAGTAAATTTTATGCTTTTCAGCAATAAAAATGACTTTTTCTACAATAATAAAAAATGCAAGTAAAAGTGTGCGCGCTCAGGATAATGAAGTTATATAACGAGATAAATACAAAAGTCAAACTCTCTATAAGAGATATACACATGCACTACTATATACTTAAGGAATGTTTTTAAGTTTTGTGTGAGTTATTGGTGTGTAAATCACACAGACTTGTCACGTAGGCATATATCATGAAGCGCGCTAGCGCTTCATGAAAAATATGCCTACGTGCAAGTCTGTGATTTACACACCAATAATTCACACTAAACTTAAAAATATTCCTTATATTTACATTTTACAAGTTTAAAAGCACCAATAATATACTAAATATTTGAATTTCTTGCTGCCCTATATCGTTACATTTTTATTAACGTCTCTGTAGCCTCATTGTGACGTTACTTTAGCACGAGTTTCACCGTGTATATTTTTACGCGTAAGTATACACAAAAATGATTTTCAAATCAATTTCACAGTTGGCTTAGTAGAAAAACACAGCAAATGTAAATATTTGTACTACAGCCTTAAATGCTAATGCTTCAGCATAAATTGTAACTGAAATTCTAAAAAAGAAATTGTGGTCTTTGCAATCAATATTTAATATATCGAAGATGTAAACAAAAAATACCGTATAAGCAGATTTATTTTTTAGCCAGGATTAAATTTTGACATTATTAGCGAGGGTGTTCAGACCGCTAAAATTGAATATCGCTAAGAATTCATTTCGCATTATGAGTTATTGATTAACAAAGGTTCGTAAAGAAGGATAACTCTGTAACACTTTACATCATTAAACAGAGATATCTTCCTTAGGTATTTCTTTACAATACCTTAGTGGTACGTGAGCTTCGTTCACAATATAATTAAAGTATTGAAAACTTTGTTCTTGACTTGTCATTTGAGTTTGAACTCTCTTTGGAAATGGTTAAGTGTCTTCCTTTCTGATTGTGGATAAGTGTTTGTTTCTGAGATGTCGATTTTGAAATTTTTGAAAGAGGCCCAAGGGCCTTAACGGTCATCTGAAGATAATACAATTTAGAGGATCCGTAGAGTGTAAAATAAACTGATAGATGAAGCTTTGTTGCCCAAAAGCAAGGGATGATCGGGATCAATGAAATAATTAGTATTCACTAACAACTCATAAATTAAAATAATTTGATTTTGATTGTAACGCCCCATTTGATTGGATAAAAATTTACTTTATATCGTATAAATTGGGTTGCCTACGTCACAATGACTTGCGTCCAGAAAGTATCGATCAGCCTGATGATTTAAATTTTGTACAATTTGAAGTTATTTTTTAAGGGCAATCGTCTTTTTTTCTAACAGTAAGTAAATGAATGAAAAATAAATTATGAGGAATGAAATTAAAAGCTACCCAATTTATACGGTATAAAGTGGGCTTGAACAGTTTACGCTTTTTTTAAAAACCGCTTCGCGCTATATAATCAATAGAGCCCCATCCTAACACCTGAACCCCTAACCCAGAGGCAATGAAATTCATAATTTTGGAAAAGGCGCCATTGCTTATCATAACGCACTCAGTTTGTTTAAATAATACCCAGGAGCAGTGAAAAAGATTTTAAACGAATTACAGCATTTTCACTCTATAATCAATAGAGTCCCGCCCTAACACCGGAACCCCTGACCCTGGGGCCATGAAATTCACAATTCTGTAAAACACATCCTTGTGCATTATACTTTATAGTAACCATGCATTTCGTTTGTTTAAATAATACCCTGGAGCAGAGAAGAAGATTTTCAATTAAAGAATTAATGCATTTTCATTATATAATCAATAGAGCCCCACCCTAACACCTGAACCCCTGACCCAGAGGCCATGAAATTCACAATTTTGAAAAAGGCATCCTAGCATATCATAACCATGTACTTAGTTTGTTTAAATAATACCCAGGAGCAGAGAAGACAATTTTCAAAGAATAAATGCATTTTCATTATATAATCAATAGAGCCCCACCCTAAAACTAGAGCCCATGACCCAGGGGCCATGAAATTCACAAATTTGGAAAAGGCATCATTGCTTATCATAACCATGCATTTAGATTGTTTAAATTATACCCTGGAGAAGAGAAAAAGATTTTCAAAGAAATAATGCATTTTTACTATATGATCTTTATAGCCCCGCCGTAGCACCAGAACCCCTGACCATGGGGCCATGAATTTCACAATCATGCCAACACTTTGACTGCTTGATTTCCAGGAGTAAAGAAGAAAATTTTAAAAGATTGCATCAATTTTGGTGATTTTAGCCCCACCCCCGGGCCCCCAGGGGGGGGGTAGGGACCATGAGAATCATAATCTTTATCCCCCTTCACCCTTAGATGCTATATGCTAAAATTGGTTGAAATGGGTTTAGCGGTTCTAGAGAAGTTGAAAATGTTCGAAAGTTGACGGACGACGCAAGTCGTCAGACAAAAACGGATGGCAATAGGTCACCTGAGTGATGGACTTACTCTACCTATTCTCCTTCAAAAAGATATGAAATCGGAAAATATACTGCAGAATTCGGAAATTCGAAAGCTGTCGCCAAATTTTCGGCCGGGTCAGAGAATAAATTGTGTGAAAGTTCAGTGAGAAATTTTAAAAAGTGTTACTTAAAAACTAAGAAGCCGGGAAACGAAAGCGCTTTTTAGAGTGGAGATATTGAAACTTGTCGTGGTGAGGAAGCTAAAGTTTTAGAAAAAAGAGGCAGAAAATTGTTCGGCGATGAACTGGACGCCAATGTCCAAAAAAATAGGTTATTGGATTAAGAGATTCAAGTGCAGTTGTAAACACATCTATTGTGAGGGCTTCCACAAAGGGTGTCGTCTTGTCAAGGGACAGGAGTTCGTTTGGAGTCACAAAGATTTATCTACAAGCTGAGCAAAATCGCTGCTATTGACAATGGGCATGGTCAAATGGAAAGGGACAACGTCGAAGAAAATTCTTGATGTTGCTTATGAAGATGGAAAAAAATAGTTTCTTAAACGAATACAGGCAAAAGTGGAAACCTATAAAATTCCAGCGAAACTTATCCTGAACTTGGACTAGACACGTGTCAATATCGTCCCTGTAGCAGGTTGGACAATGGCACGCGAGGGATCAAAGCGTGTGGAGATTAAAGGGATCGAAGGGACAAGGCAAATTACAAGTATGTTTATTTACATGATTGTTCGTTGTTGATAAGAAATTTTTGCTCTAAAATAAATAGTTTGCATTGTCTTTTTATGCATATTAAACTTATCAGCTGATTGGCATGGGATAAATCGTTGAAATTTACATGTAAAAGATTCAACAAAATTCAAAGAAAAACAATCATTTTCTACAAATATTCTATCAAGTACTGTTGTTAATATACTTAAAAAAACTGATTTTTAAAGCTACATTTGCTGGGACCTTGTCGGGATCTTTTCTGCCCATGCAATTTATCTACGGGGGGAAAACCTATCAATGTCACCCAAAATTCACTTTTCCAAAAACTTTGAATATCACTCATTCAGAAAACAACTGGGCGAACAAAAAAAACCATGAAAGACTATATCACAGAGATCGTTGATATATCAACAATATTAGAGACGGAAGGCGATTTCCCTGTTACACAACAAACACTGGCTATTTCGATATTGACAAATTACAGAACCCATTCTCGAACTTTTGAAGAAACACCACATTCAGTACGTAACTGTCCCCCAAACTGCACAGACAAGCTCCAACCAATGGACTTGTTCTTAAGATTTTTTCTAAAAAGGAATTCCACGAATGGTATGCGGGGGAGGTAGCTGCCAGTATTTTTGAAGATAATGACTGTGTAAACGTGGATTTAATAAGCGTTAGCAGAATGAAGCCATAAGGTGCGAAATGGCTTCTTAAACTCTATGATTATTTATGCATCAAACCAGACATCATTAAAATGGATTTAAGTAGAGAGGAATTGATGATGTTTGTAAATAAATCGATACTAACGTGACTGGGACACATGCCGATACAATATGAATTACTGTTCTAACTATACTGCAGTGATTTGCTATAGATGAATAGTGATGTACAACCCTGTTTAATGTTTATCTTTCTGTTCGAAATGTTATTGATTTATACATTGTAAATAAATAAAATCGTAACGGTGTTTGTCTGAACTTATGGTAAGAATAAATTTCAGGAAGATTTTATATTCTGATTGAATCAATAAATCGCTAAAATTACTTCTCGCTAAAATTATAAACCGAATTTTGAGAAGAAATCGCTGAAATTGCGTCTCGCTAAAAATTCCACTAATCCGGTATTTATTTCTAGACATATAAAGTGAGTTCAAATTTAATTTTAAATTTAAAGTCTCACCAAAAATTTACTTTAGATAATCACTCTATTATACTAAAAACTTAAGTAATTTTATTTACTTTGAAACTACAGACTTTCTTTAAATTTATAGCCTAAGTATCTTTTAAATATCAGATTATTGATGTAAATTCTGGAAAAATTGCGAATATTATACAAGATTAATTTTCTTTCGTGGGTGAAATTGTCGAGCCAGAAATACACACAAGAACAAATATCAAACATAATATTGAAACTATTCAGAAAAGGAAAATTTTGAGTTAGTTGCTCTGAATATCTACTTTTCATAAATACGTATGTTTTTTGTTGTAGTATTTGA